CTCTGCTTACCTCCGCTTACCTCCCGAGGCGGCGGCGGCGGCGGCGACAGCGGCGGCAGAGGTCGAAGCAGTGGGGCTGGGCGCGCAGGCGCGGTGCGGCTCTTATCCACGCCGCAGCACCCGGATGGAGAAGGCGGGGGGTAGACGCTCAAGGTCACTTTGTAACAACTTTATTAGTAACCATCAGAGGAGGACAAGGACAGTCACACGGCAGCAGGCCGGCGGGCAGTGAAATTAAAAAGAGCTCTCAAAAGGCTACCCCCGGCGTTGTTAGCGTCATTAAGGGTGAAGATATTTTTAAATCTTTTCCCGCTATTGCAAACCGAGCCTTGCGCCTTAAACGTGCCAGACACAGAGCTACAAGCTAACCTTCTTTGCACTTTTATTACAGACAGGGTGAGTTGCCCACGCAGGCCTTGAACCTGTGATCCTCCTGTTTAAGCCTTCCAAGTAGCTGGGATCACAGGTCTGCACCACCAGGTCCAGAGAGATTATTTCTTTAAATGAACCCAGAAAAAGGTGTTTAGACAGCTAATCTTTCTTCAGAAAGAGGTCCTTATTAGAAGTACTGGGATAAACAAATGAGCGGTCAACTACTTTTGCAACTATGTAGCCCAGCCTGGCCTCCTTCACTGAACTCTCCTGCCTCTGTTTTCCAAGTGCTGGGATTAAAGGCGACACTGTGCTTGGCTTTTTTGTTTTTTTCCCCCCTCTAGACAAGCCTTTTCTGTAGCTTTGGAGCCTGTCCTGGAAACTAGTCCTTGTAGACCAGGCTGGCTTCGAACTCGCAGAGATCCACCTGCCTCTGCCTCCTGAGTGCTGGGATTAAAGACGTGCACCATCACTGCCCGATTTGTGTTTGGCTTTCTTCCAACTTTATAATTAGAAGAATTAAGAGATTATAATGTACTGGGCGGTACTGGCGTACGTTTTTAATTCTAGCACTCGGGAGGCAGAGGCAGATGGATCTCTCTGAGTTTGAGGCCAGCCTGGTCTAGAGAACAACTTCCAGGACTGGTTCCATAGCTACTGAGAAACCCTGTCTCGAAACAAACAAACAAAGCAAAAACCAAAAATTGAGATTATAAATATCTTAATTTTGGAGTAAAAAGTGTCTGAATATTCTTTGAAGTTTATTTAGCACCTATTTTTGGTAACTTTGAACAAACCAGATGAATGTCTCAGATAAATGACTGTTGTTGAACTTCTGGTCTCGTTATAGATTTTTAAAAATGTTTTTTGAGATTATAATTACAAGTTCTCTTCTACTGTTTCCCTCGCCTAAACTCTCCTACATACTCCCTGTCTTTTTCAAATTCATGGTCTCGTTCACACACACACACACACACACACACACACACCTATAAAAATACAATTTGCTCTGCCTGAATAATGTTTTAATCACGGTATTTTCCTTGGCCCTCTCCCCAGCCCCAGACAATCACCATTCTTTCTCTTTTGTGACCTTGACTACTTTAGGTCCTTCATTTAAGTCATGCACTATTTATTTATTTATTTTTTTGGTAACTAGCTGCCATTTCTTTTAATTTTTTTATTACATTTATTTACTGACTTTGTGCTTGTGTGAGGGCAGGCATGTGTGTATGGATGTCTATGCCACAGTGTGCTTGTAAAGGTCGGAGAAGACCCGGAGGGAGTCAGTACTCTCCCACCCTGCGGATCCCAGAATTGAATTCAGGTCATCAGGCTCAGGGGCGAGCAAGCAGCTTGACTCACTGAGCCATCTTGCAGTATACCCGTCCTTTTCTTAAGTTCATGTTGTGTATTTTTGAGATTGATCTAGTTATATAGTTCACACTGACTTGGAACTTCGTATCCTCCTGCCTCAGCCTTGAGAGGGTTAGGATCACAAGCACCTGGTTAATAACTGATTTCTTTCACATAGCAGCTGTCTTCATAGTTCATCCAGGTTGAGGCATGTGTAAGAATGTTCTTCCTTTATAAGGCTGAATAATATCTGTGTATATGTGTATGTCTGTACCTGTACGTATCACACTTGCTTAACCACTCATTCATGATGGAGCCTTTGGGTCATTACTCCCTTTGGTCTGTTGTGATCACAGATGTAGGAGTACTCATTTGAGTTTCCACCTTGAATTCTGTGGGGCATATGCCACAAAATACTGCTGGATCATATAATTGTATTTTAAAATGATATACTGTTTTTCACAGTGGCTGTGCCATTTTATATTTCTACAGTAAATACAAGGTTCCCAGTCTCTCCCCATTCTTGCCAGTGTGCACACTCTTACACACTCACTTTCTCTCTTCTCTTTTCTTCTTACCTTCCTACTCCCTTTCCTCCTCTGACTCCCTCCTCCTTGTCTCTCTCCTCTTTATTTCCCTCCCTTCTTCTGTCCCCCTCCCTCCCTCCCTCCCTCCCTCCCTCCCTCCCTTCCTCCCTCCTCCCCCTCCTCTTTCTTTCTTTCTTTCCTGACAGGATCTCATATACCCTGGCCTTGAACTTATTATGTAGCCACAGATTGCCACGAACTGCTAGGAGGTTCATAATTATCTATGAGGGGAACAGTAGGCTGGAGGAAACAAGAACTTTGTTGTTGAGACAGAGTTTCTCTACATAGCTCTGGCTGTCTGGAACTCACTGTGTAGACCAGGCTGACCTCCCAGAGGTCTACCTTGCTCTACCTCTCAAGTGCACCACCATGCCCAGCTCTAGAACAAAGACTTCGAATACTGCTCTATAAACTTGAATTTGGAAACATGGATATCACTTACAAGAGTTAATGCTTTGAAACTCCCTAGAAATGGAAAATAAGCAGAATGAACAAGTTTAACTACCAACTTGGTAGTTCCAATTACACAGGGTAAATGCAGAGTTTTAATGAAGGGTTAAGAAGACAGCTCCTTGTTCACTCCATTTCTTGCACACTAGCTTCCGAATTTTTGTGGTTATTGTTACTTTTGTTTGGAATACCTTTTCTTCTGATAGCTGCTTAGCTCTTTTCCTCACTTTATTCAAGCCTTTGCTCGAATATTACCTCTGAGGACTTTCTGAATCCCTTACTTACCTTTTTGTTTGTTTTTGAGATAGGGTCTCTCTCCACAGTCCTGTTGTCCTGTAGACCAGGCTGGCCTTGAACTCAGAGATCTGCCCACCTCTGCCTCCCGAGTGCCGGGATGAAAGGCGTGCGCCACCACTGCCTGTCTTCTTTTTCATCTTTGAAAAAGGTTTATTTTTAAAATACTTATTTTTCTTTTATGTGTGTAAATGTTTTGTGTGTATGTGTGTGTGTGTGTGTGTGTGTGTGTGTGTGTGTGTGTGTGTGGTGTATGCCAGGTAGCAAAGGAGGTCAGAAAAGGGCATCAGATCCCCTGGAGCTGGAGTCACAGATGGTACTGAGCCACCATGTAGGTCCTGGGAACCAAAAGTGGGTCTTTCTCAAGAACAAGCACGCTTACTGAGTCACCGCTCCAGCTTCCTATGTTTTCTTTTTATTAACGTGTCTGTCTGTGTGCTGTATTTCTGCCATGTGTGTAAGGGTCCAGAGAAGCCATAGGAGGGTGTTGAATCTCCTGGAGCTAGAGCTGTAGGTGGTTATGAGCCATTTGAGAACTAAATTCTGGTCTTCTGGAAGAGCAGGGAGCACTCTAAACCTGAGTCATTTCCCCAGCTCCTCTTCCCTCATCTTTTATTTATTGCTTGCTCTTTTGGTTCTCACAGAATATTTGTCCCCGAGGATAGAGATTTTGTCGTGCTTATTGCTCTATCCACAGTTTAGAAAATGCTTGACTTACTAATCTGTTAATTAATTCGGGCAGTCAGTAAACTATTGAGCAATAAGGCTGAGAAGAAATACAGAAATTGTTAATCTTTTATTTCATCTATCTATTATTTGATGTTATAGTAAAAATGGATTATTTAAAAATGTAAAAATCAGTATATTAGGGATATTTTAATAATTTATAGCGATCGATAACAATCCTTTCTCTATTGTGCTCGCATTGATGAAAAAGACTAAGTGACTAAATGAATACTAAATTTCAGGTATCAATGTTGAACTTGTGTATACTTTAGGCGGTAACTGCATTCAATATCCTTCAAGTTACATTCAAACTCTTAATATATGTAGGGCTAGGCTATCCTTGTGTGACAATATCATGTTCTCATATATGTGGCATCTTACCTCCGTATTGGCTAGAATTATTTTCTATACAGGTAGGTTTTACACAAATTTCAGTGGATTTGTTTTGTCTTGAAAATCAATTCTTAGTGTAAGTCCCCATCTCCCTCAAAAAATCAAAGACATCTATTTTTAGAAGACTTGAATATTTAACATATGCTTAAGAGATAAAAATTAATAATTTATTTATTTTTATTTTATATGCATTGGTGTTTTGCCTGCATGTATGTCTGTGTGAGGGTGTCAGATTTTGGAGTTATAGACAGTTGTGAGCTGCCATGTGGTGCTGGGAATGAAATCCTGTTTCTCTTGGAAGAGCAGTCAGTGCTCTTAACTACTGAGTCATCTCTCCAGCCCATGAGATGAAAAATTTTATAACACTCAAAACATCTGTAAGCATTCTTCTATTTTTAGTTTAAAAATATTTTTTAAAATTGTGTGTGTGTGTGTGTGTGTGTGTGTGTGAGTATGTGAGTGAGGATGCCCGAATAGACTCCAAAGATGGGAGCCCTTGGAGCAGCCTGATATGGGTATTACAAACAGTCTTAACTACCAAGCCAGACCCAAGAGAGCTCTTTCTACCATTTTTTTCTCAATGCTAGTCCCAGGGAGGTATTTATGGGGTAATGTGATTATGAAGCTACTCTATCAATTCTGGGGCTTCTATATTGTGCAAATGCTTTATGCTGATTAATGCTCATTTTGAATATATTTCTGGATCATTATGGCCTTATGAAGGAAAAACACAGTTACACAGTACTAACCATACTTTTCTTGGCACCTTTTCCCATTACTAATTTAAATAAAGTTATCCATTATATGGATAATATTACACTTTATACTGCCCATATAACCCTTAAAGACTTTCTAATCTAAGCACTTTGATAATTAGCTTTGTTTCCTATGGCCTATCTCCAAGTCAGGTAACCTGGTCTAAAGTAGTGATGCATATACAATTTT